AGGAAATGCTAAAGCTCAGTGGGAAAGCGCACATGCCTTACATGTGTAAGATCCCACAGCTAATCCCTGTCACCCATCAGCTAAACGGATCAGGTAGCGGATAATGGAAAACAACCCTGGAGGGCCACCGCCAGGCAGAACAAACAATGCTATAAGATGGTCCAAGGTCACTGGGGTTGCAGCATCCTGGAGAGGGGCGGGGTCAGTTCCTTGTGGGATCTGATGCAGGTTGAGCAACTGTGCTGACTCTTCAAGAGTCTGGTGCCCCCTGTCAAGAAAGCAAGGAGAAGGGAAGAGGCACACAGAGGGAAGGAAAGGCACCCAGGATTCAGCAGCAAGGACTTCTCGATAAAAATGGCTGGTTCAGGAATTCTGGGAGTTGGAAATCCACAAGTCATAAAAGAGCCATCGTTCCTTACCTCCATGCATGACAAGCAGTAGGACCTCTGAAGTCCACAATTTTTGGGAGATGCTCCTCAGGCCAGCCAAGAAATTCTGTCAAACCGGTGGCTCTGTGGCCTTTAAACTATTTTCCAGGGCGGCCCTGAACTCTTTGAAAGTGTAGCTGGGGGTTTCCAATGAGAACTGACAGCTGAAATGCACCTTGTCTATTTTCAGCCTCTCTATCTAGTAGGGATGGGCTATCAGATACCTACAGCATGCCAGCAATGTCACTGGTGTCATTGCTCCCAACCAAGACAGCTTTAATGAATACTTTGCAAGGAACGTTGACTCTAAATGTACAGACCCTAAACAGCTCAGTATTATTCCCAGTCTAAATTAGCCACCTGGGGCATTATCCAGATATTGTGGACACCCAAAAATAGGAGGGGGTCAATTTATTCTCCAAAGCACCAGAAGGCAGGAGGAGAAACAATGGATGGAAACTAATCAAGGAGAAAGACAACCTGGAATTAAGAGAAACTTCCAAACAGTGACAACAATTAACTAGTGGATCAGCTGGCCATCAGAAATCAGTTGGCTTCCGACCAGCAAAATCAGTGGAGGAAGCCCAGATTCACTTAATGACCTCATGATTCATTTCACAACTGCCAGTGATTCGCTTAAGAACGGCAGCAAAAAAAGGTAATAAAGGCATGACTCACTTAGCAACCGCCTTGCTTATCAACAGACATTCTGGTCCCAATAGTGGGGTTAGGTCAAGGACTATCCCTTATAAATTAGTCGCAAGTTCTTCCAGGTTTCCAAAAGGTTGTTTTCTCAGCCCTACCTAGAAAGATGACAGACTGAACCCAAATGCAAAGAAGAGGTTCTACCACTGGCTGATAATTTCCTCCCCACGCCTAAAAACAGAAACCAAGGAATTCTTTAGTTTGGGTGATTCCTTTCATCAAATCCTTTTGTTTGGACTTAGTGTGTCCTTGCCATTTGTAAACTTTGTGTCTGGGGCTTGATATGTTATGTAAAACCAACCCAGGTGTGTGTGTGTGTGTGCACGCTTTTGGCTTTATTTAGTAAACATGGTTAAGCAAAACCATTTCTTAATTAAGCCCTGCAATTTAGCCCTTGGATAAAGGGCTGATATAAGAAGGAATGTAGGGAGCTTATTTTTGTTAACAAAGGGGACTTCTCTGTGCCTCATTTTGAGATTCCCGGCTAGGAGCCCTAAATTTCTTTCTCTTCTTCAGAAAGTAACCCCTTCTCCACATTGTACCATCTAAGCAAGCAGACTTGGGGTGGTAGCCATCTGCACCTTTTTTGTGTGGGATATGTGTGTGTGTGTGTGTGTGTCCCGTCCCGTCCCATGTCTTCTGTTTTGATCTGTGTCCACTGGGACCTTAAGTAATTAATATCCCAAATGGTGCCATGTCTTATTTTACACCAGAAGGGACCTGGATGCAAACCGAGCATAATTTCTTATCCCTTCCATTGTTCAGGCCCAGCCTTTGTGGACAGTGCCGTGCGCATGATTGCCTTCCTTTCTTCCTTTCTCTCTTTCACCCCCTCCAGCCCCCAACACACACACACACACACACACACACACACACACACACACAGAGGTTTGGGTCTTTTCAGCATGATAATATCGACCCATTATTTATTTTGCCCTGCAGCAGGACGTGTCCCAGCTGCAAGGCTTTTGTTTACAGTAACTTCATGGCAAGGATGTTACTCCAAAGCTAATAATGCTTAGGTGACTATTGAAATTGTTGAAAGACTAGAAACTGGGCTGGCCAGCACAGCCATTCACAGTGGGCCACCAACCCATCCGGATCTTGGCTTTGTTGCTTTTTTTTCCTTTTCTTTTATATTTATTAGTCCTGGAACCCCTTTTGTCTGTCCTGCTGTATTCCTTGATGCTTAGTGGGAGGCCAGAGATAAGCCATTTATCATGATCCCTTCCCTTCACCAACTTCCAAGGGGCACCTGGCCATCCCCAGTAGGTTGAAGGAAGAAACTCATTTGGGCAGCCATGTTTAATTCCCGGGATAGTGTAATCTCTGGCACCATCTGTGTCCCCGCCTGGATGGAGGAGGCCAGAAAGCTCTTGGGATTTCTCCCAGAAGGTGAATGTCAAGAGGGCTTGTTTATTCACTGTCTGTCCAGATAACATCCCAGGTCACAGGAGGACAGTTTTGTTTGGTTTTGAAAGAGCCGCTGAGCCGGATCTCAGCTAGCCACGGAGACTGGCTTTCAGTAACCCGTCAAGAGAAAAAGAAAAAAAAAAGGGTGGGGGGGCTTGAACCAAAGCAGCAAAGAAACTTCCCTGGGGCAAGATAGCACAAAAAGGATCAGTGGTTCCTCCACCATTAACCGTCCCATGGTCCTCTCCTCCAGCCATAGCAGCTGCAGGCTTGGCTAGCTTCCTGTAGGTGATGGTAGCTGTGCAAGCACATTCAAGAAGTTCCTTAACTTACAACCAGTGGTAGGATTCAATTTTTTTTTACCATCGTTCTGTCGGTGTGGCTTGATGGGTGTGGTGTGGCTTGGTGGGTGTGGCAGGGGAAGGATACTGTAAAATCTCCATTCCCTCCCCACCTCACTAACCTGCTTTCCAGCTCCGTTCTCCTGCGTAGGGCAACCAAAGAAGACCCAGCCGATCAGCTGGGACTCAGTGGGAAGCGGAGAAGAGATGGGGACGGAGCCAGTCAGAGGCGGGATTTGTCAGTTCTCTGAACTACTTAAAATTTTCACTATGGCTTCTCCAGAACCGGTCAGAACCTGCTGAATACCACCTCTGCCTATAATAGTTCACAAGAGTGGCAAATATCTGTCGCTCAGTTGTAGGATGAAACCGGAGATTCGTTCTCCAAGCTTGTGGGTTGGTTTCTAAACATCGGCATAAGATGAATGCCTTCAGTTCCACGGAAGGGGATAGCAATCTTGGTAACGTTGCGATTTTTCTCACCATGTTTGTTAAGTGAATCACTGCTATTCTTAAATTAGTAACATGGTTGTTAAGTGAATCTGGTTTTGCAAAAGGGGATCCAATGACTCCGGGACACTGCAACCGTTATAAATGTGAGTCAGTTGTCAAGCATCTCAGTGTAAATCACGTGACCATGGGGATACTGCAGCAGTCGTAAGTGTGAAAAATGGTCAACAAGTCACTTTTTTTCAGTGCCATTGTAACTTTGAATAGTCATTAAATGAATAGTTGTAAGTCGAGGGCCGCTTGTAGTGTTGCTGAAGTTGTTCAGCAGTGAGTCTCCTCCTCCAAAGTTGAAGCAAGAATACAATTTCAAATTACACTGGTTTATTGGTTAGATTTATATCCTTTCTGTAGCAAATCAAGTGCAATTCATTTATTCCCCAAACATCCTAATACCTTCACTGCTACAACATGCTGGATTTCTTTCATTTAATCGTGCTAGTATTTTAGAAGTGAAAACATAACTTTGTGGGTTTTTTTGAAGTCCCCTTTTCCCTTTAGAGAACAAAACATAAAACCTACAGTAGCTATTGTAGACTTCGTTTGTAAATTTAATCTGACTGGGTTTTGTAAAATCACGCAATTGTTTACTGCTATGCCTGGGAAAAATGACAGAAAAACAATACAATTATCGCAACGTTCCTGCACCAGCTCTTTAAAAAATACATCCCAGGTCCTGAGCATTTACTTATTGCTGTTCTTAACAACATGATTTACTGCTGGTTGATTAATCTAGTTTTATACCAGTACTGGTACTCCTCGACTAATGACCACAATTGAGCCCAAATTTCTGTTGTTAAGTGAGACATTTATCACATGAGGTTTGCCCCATTTTATAACCTTTCTTGCCACAGTTGTAAAATGAAACACTGCAATTGCTAAGTTGGTAACACAGTTATTAAGTATATCTGGCTTCCCCCATTGAGTTTGCTTGTCCGAAGGTCGCAAAAGGGGATCAAGTGACCCCGGGATGCTGTAACCGTCATAAATATGAACCAGTTGCTAAGTGTCTAAATTTTGATCATATGATCATGGGAATTCTGCAATGGTCGTAAGTGTGAAAAATGGTCATAAGTCACTTTTTTCTGTGCTGTTGTAATAATGGTCACTAAATGAACTGTTGTAAGTCGAGGACTACCTGCACTTTATAGATATATGTTCATATGTCACTTATTTAATTATTATTTGGTATATTCTTCTTTGATTATATTTATAAACACATAGATACAGGCACATACATACATATACATATTAGCTAATATATATTTAGTAATATCGCTCTGGGACATTTGAGTGAATGTTGACTCCTGGCAACTAGTTCATATAGCTTTTTTGGCAAGATTTTGCCACTGCTGCCTCCTTTCTGGCCCAAGGTCACCCAGCTGGCTTTGTGCTTAAGGCAGGACTAGAACTCATGGTCTGCTGGTTTCCAGCTTGGTGCACTAACCATCCCACCAAACTAGCATTCTCCAGGACATCTAGTTTTTTTAAATAAAATAAAACTCTTCATGCATTAATGCTTGTATATATGACTGTTTTTCAAAGCTATATTGGTTGGTTATTAAATATGTTGCTTCTTTCATTCTTTTCTATGTATTCTACACTGACTGATTCTGATGAATTACTATCGGATTCCTGTAATTGGCTCCATTTTGCGGGGTGAGTATGAACTTTTATGAAATTCTTAATGAGTTGAAAGCATTCTTCCAGAAGCAGAAGCTTTGTTTAGTCCCATTTCTTCTTTTTATTCAGTTCTTCTGGTTTACATTGTTTAGTTCTTCCTTTCTAATGTAACTGAAAGCTTACTGGATTCATTTTTTGATTATTATTATTTTAATGGAGTAGAATTCTAGCGGGTAATTTGTTATTCTACAGCAATGGATATTTTCTGTGGAATGTTCTTCTTTATGTGGTTAGTTCCATATTATAAATCATATTTCTGAATGGGAGAAGTATGTAGTAGAAGCATTAATATTTGATTGCTGATTTGCATCATGGAGATTTATATGAAACCTGTCCAGAAAAAAAAAAGAATTTATATTGGAAATCTGTCTTGAATTTCTGTCATAAATAGAAGTGCTTTATTTATGAGTAACATCCCAAGGTTTCTGTTTAGCAAAGACACTGCTGCCATATTTATTCAGATGTCAGCTGCATTTTGTTCCAGATAGGTAGGCTGTAGGATTGCAGCAAAACAATGCTGATATTCCTCAGGTCCTCCTGACTTTTTCAGCTTAAGAAAGAGACGCTTGGGAATAAGGTTGGTGTTGAACTTGAGTTCAATAGATTAATATCAGGCACAAAGAATATAGATTTATTCAAGCCCACTCACAAGAATCTGGTCAACTCAAATTGAACACTAAATTCGCAGATAAGGATGAATGGAATTCAGGAGAGGTTGGTTTTACACTGCTTGTGGGAACACAATGGCTCTAAGCTGATGACATGTTTAACTCCACCATCACCCACCCACCCTGCCTGCTCTTCTCCTACAGGTGCTGAATTGAGGGGAGGAGTGAAAGGGTTGAATAGCCTTGAGTGGCTTGTGGGGAGGAAGTGTCTGAAGGGAGATCCTCCCTAAAACTTCACAGTATTTATCTAGTAGTTCTGTAGTGGGTGCTTCTGTGGTAGTTCTGTACTGAGTGAATTTCAGTCTGGTGAGATTCCTATCTATAGGAGAGCAACAATAAACATACCACTGTAATCAGTTCTCTTGAGTTGTTTTTGGTTCCTTGTGCCTGACAGAAGATGACAGTGTTTTTCCTGTGGTCAGAAATCAAATTGAAGAGGTTTGTCAGTTTTAGCAAACAGGGTAAATGCCTTGTCAGTTTCACTTTGAACCTGTCCCTTGAAGGAAATACTAGCAGGTGCCCCAGAGTTTAGGCCAGCCAGCCCATGGTCCAAGTGAGATAGACTTTCTTCTCTGACAGCAGCATGAAAGGGGAAGCTAATGAAACATATCTGAGTGAGCTCATTTATTCAGACTTTTGGATTCTTCTTTTGCCAAATTTAAAGTAATTCCTTCCTCCACTAGCGAAGTGAGAGGGAGGCATCTGTTTTATCATATTTATATCTCTCTTCCATGGAACACAAAGTGGTGCATGTACGTTTATTTTTGGCTGCGTCAAATAGATCTTGTGCTGTGCAAGGCTAACTGGATCTGGATCTGTTTAATTTCAGTGAGACTGTAGTATCTGGTACTTTCCACCTGTTCTATGGAAGCCCCAACCTAGTTTGCTGATGTAGAAATCAAGCCATTTGAAAGGGCTTCCTTTTGGACTAAGGAGTTGCGGGAGATGAGACTCAATGATATAACATGATTTGTTGCTCTGCAACACGATTTGTTTGGTTTATGGCATAGCGTGCTGGGTAAACCCAGATGCTGTGAATTGCGAGTCACAGTTGCTGACTTTCAGAGCCCTGGTGGTGCAGTGGTTAGAATGCAATATTGCAGGCTAACTGCATTCCACTGCCAAGAGGTCAATCCTGACTGGTTCAAGATTGAACCTCAGCCTTCCATCCTTGTTAAAATGAGAACCCAGACTGTTGGGGGAAATATGCTGGCTCTGGTAAATGACTTAGACCTAGGGAGTGCTGTAAAGGCACTATGGAGCAGTGACTATGGTCTAAGTGCTATTACTATTGCATACAACATTCAGTAGCAAACCCTGATTTGTTAAACTATTCATAATTGAATGTCTGAACTGGGCCAGAGACACTGTTCAATTTTACTGCCCAAGTTCCTCTGTGCACTTGTTATATTCCTTTTCTGTAGGCATATTTGGAGGAGCAGCATGATATGCCAGTGCTGAATTTCAATACTAAATGCTTGTTGCATAACCTTTCCATGTTTATCTGGTAACAGAAGGCTTAGCTGGATCAACAGATGGGCTTTACTCATTGAGGAATGCTGCAGAACTTAAAAGAACACTAACTACCCTCCTGTTGATGATGCCAATAATACAAGGCATGAAGGTAGTGTTTCATTGCGAGAAACCTGACCACAATTGGTGTTTTTTTTTTTTCCAAATGGAGTAGTTATTATTTAATTTATGCCAGCTTTTGACAAATAGTTATATATAGGACTTGTAGCTGAAAAGAAATCTTAACTCTTTAGGTTAGGAAAGTGAGAGTTCTTTGCTTTCAGCTTTGGGGAACAATGTATTATATATATATGGACCACAAATCTCTGAATCGGCATTTTCTGAGTAGGTGATTTCCACATGGGTTCAACTATAACGCCCATCATTAAGGCTGTGGTGGCACAGTGGTTAAGATGCAGTATTGCAGGCTAACTGTGCCAACTGCCAGCAGTTCGATCCTGATTGGCTCATGGTTGACTCAGCCTTTCATCCTTCCGAGGTCGGTAAAGTGAGGACCCAGATTGTTTGGGGCAACAGAGGGCTGTAAAGCACTATGAAGTGATATAGAAGTCTAAGTGCTATTACTAGAGCTATTACTCATAATGTGTCGAATCCAGGCTGGGTGTTTTGCTGTGGACAGACTTATATTTTGTTTGTTGTGGTTGGCCTGATATGAATTATGCAGAAGGGAGCTAGGAATGGCATGGCTTCCCTTCCCTTCCCTTTCCTTCCTTCCTTCCTTCCTTCCTTCCTTCCTTCCTTCCTTCCTTCCTTCCTTCCTTCCTTCCTT